TGTTTTTTAAAAAAATTCATTTTTTTAAGTGACTGTACCAAAAGTTTGAAATTTGAGAAACTCAACAAAAAAATTGTTTTTGGAAAAAATTAACTTTTTTAAGAGAATTTATCAAAAGTTTGAAGTTTCAAAAATTCAATGAAAAAAAATTGTTTTTTGAAAAAATTAATTTTTTTAAGAGAATTCACCAAAAGTTTGAAATTTGAAATTGTTTTTTGAAAAAAATTATTTTTTAAAGAGAATTTACCAAAAGTTTGAAATTTGAAATTGTTTTTTGAAAAAACTAATTTTTTTAAGAGAATTTACCAAAAGTTTGAAATTTCTAAAATTCAACGAAAAAAAGTATATTTTTGAAAAAAATAGATAATTTTCGAATCCCATACTTTCTCCATGCTTTGGGGTAATCCATAAAGCATGTGATACTTTAGGGGGTAGAGGGGGGGGGGGGTCAGCAAAATATCACACTCCATATTAATCGGTATTGGAAAAAGCATCACAAGGGTGAGGGGGGGTGTTAAAATTCTGAAAAAATGTATCACATGCTTTATGGATGACCCCTTTTTCAAAACTTTGTTATGTGACAAAAAAAATTTGTTTTTTAAAAAAATTAATTTTTTTAAGAAACTTTGCCAAATTTCTGAAATTTGAGAAATTCAACGAAAATAAGTAATTTTTTGAAAAAATTGATAATCTTTCCATCCCTTACTCTTCCACACTTTTTCAAAACTAAAAATTTGACAAACTTGACTAAAAAAATTGTTTTTTAAAAAAATTCATTTTTTTAAGTGACTGTACCAAAAGTTTGAAATTTGAGAAACTCAACAAAAAAATTGTTTTTGGAAAAAATTAACTTTTTTAAGAGAATTTACCAAAAGTTTGAAGTTTCAAAAATTCAACGAAAAAAAATAAATTTTTTAAAAAAATAGATAATTTTATCCTCAAAGAAATCCTCAAACTCGTCCTAAATTTGATCCTCAAAGAAGTCTTTAAACACGTCTTAAATTTAACCCTCAAAGAAGTTCTCAAACGCGTCCTAAATTTGATCCTCAAAGAAGTCCTCAAACTCATCTTAAATTAAATCCTCAAAGAAGTGCTCAAACGCGTCCTAAAATTGATCCTCAAAGAAGTCCTCAAACACATCTTAGAATTGATCCTCAAAGAAGTCCTTAAACACGTCCCAAATTTAACTCTCAAAGAAGTTTTTAAACGCGTCCTAAATTTCATCTTTAAAGAAGTCCTCAAACTTGTCCTAAATTTAATCCTCAAAGAAATCCTCCAGCTCGTACTAAATTTGATCATAAGAGAAGTCCTCAACTACTTCCTAAATTTGATCCTCAAAGAAGTTCTCAATCGCGTCCTAAATTTGATCCTCAAAAAAGTCTTTAAACACGTACTAAATTTAACCCTTAAAGAAGTCTTAAACTTGTCCAAAATTTAACCCTTAAAGTTGTCCTCAAACACATCTTGAAATTGATCTTCAAAGAAGTCCTGAAAATCGTCCTAAATTTGATTCTCAAATAAGTCCTTTAACACATCCTAAATTTAATCCTCAAAGAAGTACTCAAACACGTCCCAAATTTAACCCTTACAGAAATCTTAAACTTTTCCTAAATTTAACCCTCAAAGTTGTCCTCAAACACATCTTAAAATTGATCTTCAAAGAAGTCTTCAAAATCGTCATAAATTTGATTCACAAATAAGTCCTTTAACACATCCTAAATTTAATCCTCAAAGAAGACCTCAAACTCGTCTTAAATTTGATCCTTAAAGAAGTCCTTAAACACGTCCTAAAATTAACCCTTAAGGTTGTCCTCAAACACATCTTGAAATTGATCTTCAAAGAAGTCCTGAAAATCGTCCTAAATTTGATTCTCAAATAAGTCCTTTAACACATCCTAAATTTAATCCTCAAAGAAGTACTCAAACACGTCCCAAATTTAACCCTTAAAGAAATCTTAAACTTGTCCTAAATTTAACCCTCAAAGTTGTCCTCAAACACATCTTAAAATTGATCTTCAAAGAAGTCTTCAAATTCGTCATAAATTTGATTCACAAATAAGTCCTTTAACACATCCTAAATTTAATCCTCAAAGAAGTCCTCATACTCGTTTTAAATTTGATCCTTAAAGAAGTCCTTAAACACGTCCTAAAATTAATCCCAAAAGAACTTCTAAAACACATCCTAAATTTAATCCTCAAGGAAGTCCTCAAACTCGTCTTAAATTTGATCCTCGAAGAAGTCCTCAAACACATTTAAAATTGATCCACAAAGAAGTCTTTAAAGACGTCAAAAATTTGATCCTAAAAGAAACCTCCAACTCGACCTAAATTTGATTCTCAAAGAAGTCCTCAAACCGAACAGGACCAATTGGAAAATTTTTTATGCAATTTAGTATATAAAAGTGTTGTTAAATGGGTTTACCAAGGGTATAGCGTAACTATTGCGTGCGTCTACCGTGGGAAAAGCGTAGCTCTTGCGTAAGTCTACCGTGGGCATAGCGTGGATCTTCCGTGGGCATAGCGTGGCTGTTCCGTGGGCCTACCGTGGGCATATCATGGATCTACCATGGGTCTACGCGTGGGCATAGCGTGGCTGTTGCGTGGGCCTACCGTGGACATAGCGTGGGTCTACCGTGGGCATAGCATGGGTCTACCGTGGGCATAGCGTGGCTGTTGCGTGGGTCTACCGTGGGCATAGTGTGGATCTTCCGTGGGCCTACCGTTGGCATAGCATGGATCTACCATGGGTCTACCGTGGGCCTACCATGGGCATAGCGTGGGTCTACCGTGGGCATAGCGTGGCTGTTGCGTGGGCATAGCGTGACTGTTGCGTGGGTCTACCGTGGGCATAGCATGGCTGTTGCGTGGACTATCGTGCGTGGCTGTTCTGTGGGTCTACCGTGGGCATAGCGTGGCAGTTGCGTGGGCATAGCATGGATCTACCATGAGTCTACCGTGGGCATAGCGTGGCTGTTGCGTGGGTCTACCGTGGGCATAGCGTGGATCTTCCGTGGGCCTACCGTGGGCCTACCGTGGGCATAGCATGGATCTACCATGGGTCTACCGTGGGCCTAGCATGGATCTACCATGGGTCTACCGTGGGCCTAGCGTGACTGTTGCGTGGGTCCACCGTGGGCATAGCGTGGCAGTTGCGTGGGTCTACCGTGGGCATAACGTGGCTGTTGCGAGGGTCTACCGTGGACATATCATGGCTGTTGCGTGGGTTTACCGTGGGCATAGCGTAGCTGTTCCGTGGGCCTACCGTGGGCATAGCATGGATCTACCATGGGTCTACCGTGGGCATATCGTGGGTGTTGCGTGGGTTTACCATGGGCATAGCGTATCTGTTGCGTGGGTCTACCGTGGGCATAGCGTGGATCTTCCGTGGGCCTACCGTGGGCCTACCGTGGGCATAGCATGGATCTACCATGGGTCTACCGTGGGCATAGCGTGACTGTTGCGTGGGTCTACCGTGGGCATAGCGTGGCAGTTGCGTGGGCCTACTGTGGGCATAGCATGGATCTACCATGGGTCTACCGTGGGCCTACCGTGGCTGTTGCGAGGGTCTACCGTGGACATATCATGGCTGTTGCGTGGGTCTACCGTGGGCATAGCGTGGATCTTCCGTGGGCCTACCGTGGGCCTACCGTGGGCATAGCATGGGTCTACCGTGGGCATATCGTGGGTGTTGCGTGGGTTTACCATGGGCATAGCGTATCTGTTGCGTGGGTCTACCGTGGGCATAGCGTGGATCTTCCGTGGGCCTACCGTGGGCCTACCGTGGGCATAGCATGGATCTACCATGGGTCTACCGTGGGCATAGCGTGACTGTTGCGTGGGTCTACCGTGGGCATAGCGTGGCAGTTGCGTGGGCCTACTGTGGGCATAGCATGGATCTACCATGGGTCTACCGTGGGCCTAGCGTGACTGTTGCGTGGGTCTACCGTGGGCATAGCGTGGGTCTACCGTGGGCATAGCGTGGACATACCGTGGGCATAGCATGGATCTACCATGGGTCTACCGTGGGCATATCGTGGCTGTTGCGTGGGTTTACCGTGGGCATAGCGTATCTGTTGCGTGGGTCTACTGTGGGCCTAGCGTGGCTTTTCCGTGGGTCTACCATGGGCATAGCGTGGACCTTCCGTGGGCCTACCGTGGGCATAGCATGGATCTACCATGGGTCTACCGTGGGCATAGCGTGGCTGTTGCGTGGGCCTACCGTGGGTATAGCGTGGCTGTTGCGTGGGTCTACCGTGGGCATAACGTGGATCTTCCGTGGCCCTATCGTGGACCTACCGTGGGCATAGCATGGATATACCCTGGGTCTACCGTGGGCCTAGCGCGACTGTTGCGTGGGTCTACCGTGGGCATAGCGTGACTGTTGCGTGGGTCTACCGTGGGCATAGCATTGATCTACCATGGGTTTACCGTGGGCCTAGCGTGGCTGTTGCGTGTGTCTATCGTGGGCCTAGCGTGACTGTTGCGTGGGTCTACCGTGGGCATAGCGTGGCAGTTGCGTGGGTCTACCGTGGCTGTTGCGTGGGTCTACCGTGGGCATAGCGTGGATCTTCCGTGGGCCTACCGTGGACCTACCGTGGGCATAGCATGGATATACCATGGGTCTACCGTGGGCCTAGCGTGACTGTTGCGTAGTTCTACCGTGGGCATAGCGTGGCAGTTGCGTGGGTCTACCGTGGGCATAGCGTGGATCTTCCGTGGGTCTACCGTGGGCATATCGTGGCTGTTGTGTGGGTCTACCGTGGGCATAGCGTGAATTTAATTAAATAAAAATTTTTGTGATTTTTACTTGATTTTCACTTATAATCTGAGTTAAAAATTATAAATAATTATTCAATTATTACTTATTCAGATATCGTTGATACCTGTACTGTGCGAATAGTGATATAAAAAAATTGATTTTTTAATTTAAATAGAAAATTTTATTTATTTTGTGTAAAGATGAATACGACACAACGTCAACATTACAGATTTATGAGATAATGGGTGAATATACTGCTCGGCACTATATGGAAATGGTGATGTTGTACGGCGAACACGGCTACAATGCTCACCAAGCAGCTATCGCGTTTAGGCAGAGGCACCCTGAACTTCGTCCGAACCATAATACCATTCTCAGAACCATCCAAAGAGGAAATGAGAATGGTAATTTGGTCCCGGACAACAGGAACAGGGTGGGTGCACCTCGGACAGCGAGAAACCCTGCGAATGAGGAGAGGATTCTCCGCTATATAAATCAGCACCCGACGCACAGCATACGACAAATGGTGCGTGCCCTGCGGCTCAGCTACTGGACAGTTCAACAGACCTTAAGAGGCGACGGGTAATGTGTTTATTATAAACGTGATAAACGCTTTTCTTTTTCCTTTTTTCATCCCCTTATACAATCACCTAATTGTGAATTTCTCTTATCCATTACTTATTAATCCATTCATTGTCGCATTTTTTTTATCCATCTATCCAGAAAGTAAATTCCGTAATTTTCCCTCTTTTTAATTCCGAGATTCAAAGTGGGAAGTAGAAAGTGTAGAATAGGATGTGAAATATGAGAAATATATTAGATAGTGGAATATGAAAAGTGATACGTTGAAATGGGATGTATGAATGAGAAGTAGAAAGTTGGATATGAAAAGTGTAGAGTAGGATGTGAAATATGAGAAATGGATAGTTGGATATGAAATGTTATAGTGGAAAATGGGATGTAGAAAGTGTAGGGTAGGATGTGATACATGTGAAATAAATGTAGGATATGAAAAGTGATTTGTGGAAAATGGGATGTAAGAATAAGAAGTAAAAAGTGGAATGTGAAAAGTGCATAGTGAGATGATAAATATGTGAAGCAGAGAGTGTCATGTAAAAAGTAGGAAATGGAAAGTTGGTTGGAAAAAGTGGAAAAGTTATGGAATTGACTTGATGTCCTTAATTTCCTTTAACATCCTTTGTTCCTTTAACAGTTTACACGCTTACCACTACCGCCAAGTTCAAGCCCTCCACGAAGGTGATAACGAGAGGAGAATGGCATATTGCCGGTGGCTTGTCGCTCAACACGAGCAGGACCCGACATTTAGGGACAGGATCCTCTACACGGATGAGGCCACGTTCCCAAGAAGTGGAACTTTTAATTATCACAACAACCACGAGTGGAGGCACGAAAATCCACATCTTGCGATACGTGTCCGACACCAGAGGAGAATGTCCCTAAATGTCTGGTGTGGTGTTGTAGGAGATCGTCTTGTAAGTATTTTCAGATTTATGCATAAGATATTAACATAAGTCTCAAATCTTCAGCATAAAGCTTAAGTTCTTACGTCTTAAAATTTATGTTTTAAATCGTAAAACTAAAGATTTAACTGTAAGTTTTAAAATTAAAATTTTTTTAGACTTAAGCAAAAGATTTTAACATAAGACTTGAAACTCCAGCATAAAGCTTAAATTATTAAGTCTTAGGACTTATGTTTTAAATCGTAAAACTGAAGATTTAAGCATAAGTTTTAACCCTTTGCAGCATAGTGGTAACCCAGATTACCAATTTTCAGTTCTCAAATTTTCTCGTCAGATTCAACCTCTGTTTCAAGTAAACTCAAAAATCTTTTTTTATTGATTAACCAAACATTGTTAAATGTAAACAAATTAATAATAAATGCAATTACGTAAAAATTATAAACTTATATTATAAATATATTTATATATATAGTTATAATATAAAATTATAATTAAATAAATTTTCAAAATAAAAAAAAAATTTTTGGTCAAATTTTTTTTAACTAAAGTTACCGACTAACGACTTTCAGGCGATTTCGATCAATTCTTAAAAGTTCATCCGCCATATTGGATCCGCCATTTTGAATTCTGGAAAAAGAACAACAGATTCGTAATCAGCGATCCAAAAAGCTTTCAAGTAACGACTTTCAGGAGATTTCGTTAAGTTTTATAAAATTCATCCGCCATATTAATTCCACCATTTTGAATTTGGAAAAATAACATCAGATTCCTAATCAGAGACCCCAAAATCCCACAAGTAACGACTTTCAGGCAATTTCGATCAATTCTTGGAAATTTGTCCGCCGTATTGGTTCCACCATTTTGAATTCTGAAAGATGATATCTGACTCGTAATCAGCGACCCCAAAAGCCTCCAAGTAACTACTTTCATGCGATTTTGTAAAGTTCTTAAAAAAAGTTCGCCATATTGGATCCGCCAATTTGAATTCTGGAAAAAAAACAACAGATTCGTAATCAGCGATCCAAAAAGCTCCCAAGTAACGACTTTCAGGAGATTTCGTTAAGTTTTATAAAATTTATCCGCCATATTAATTATACCATTTTGAATTTGGAAAAATAACATCAGATTCCTAATCAGAGACCCCAAAATCCCACAAGTAACGACTTTCAGGCGATTTCGTTAAATTCTTAAAAATTTGTTCGCCATATTGCCTCCGCCATTTTGAATTTTAGAAATATAACATCAGATTCGTAATCAGCGACCCCAAAAGCCCCCAAGTAACTACTTTCATGCGATTTCGTTAAGTTTTTAAAAATTCGTCCGCCATATTGGTTCCACCATTTTGAATTTAAAAAAAAGACATCTGATTCGTAATCAGCGACCCCAGAAGCCCCCAAGTAACGACTTTCAGGCGATTTTGTTAAGTTCTTAAAAAAACGTCCGCCACATTGGATCCGCCATTTTGAATTTTCTAAAAATATAATCAGATTCCTAATCAGCGACCTCAAAAGCCCTAGGTAACGACTTTTAGGCCATTTTGATCAATTCTTAAAAATTTGTTCGCCATATTGCCTCCGCCATTTTGAATTTTAGAAATATAACATCAGATTCGTAATCAGCGACCCCAAAAGCCCCTAAGTAACTACTTTCATGCGATTTCGTTAAGTTTTTTAAAATTCATCCGCCATATTAATTCCACCATTTTGAATTTGGCAAAATAACATCAGATTCCTAATCAGAGACCCCAAAATCCCACAAGTAACGACTTTCAGGCGATTTCGTTAAATTCTTTAAAAATCGTCCGCCATATTGGTTCCGCCATTTTCAATTTTCTAAAAATATAATCAGATTCCTAATCAGCGACCTCAAAAGCCCTAGGTAACGACTTTTAGGCCACTTTGATCAATTCTTAAAAATTTGTTTGCCATATTGCTTCCGCCATTTTGAATTTTGGAAATATAACATCAGATAACTACTTTCATGCGATTTCTTTAAGTTCTTAAAAATTCGTCCGCAATATTAGTTCCACCATTTTGAATTTTGGAAAAATAACATCAGATTCCTAATCAGGGACTCCAAAATCCCCCGGGTAACGACTTTCAGGCGATTTTGATCAATTCTTAAAAATTTGTCTGCCATATTGCTTCCGTCATTTTGAATTTTGGAAAAATAACATCTGATTCGTAATCAGCGACCGCAAAAACCTCCATAAGCCTTTTTTTAAATTAATGTTGTAATGTAATGTATGCCGCAAAGGGTTAGAATTAAAGTTAAATTTTTTTAGACTTAAGCATAAGATTTTAACACAAGACTTAAAACTCAGAAGTCTCATGTTTTAATTTTTAAAACTGAAGATTTATGCATAAGTTTGAAAATCCAAATCCCTAATTTACAGATTGGTCCTTTCTTTTTTGATGGTCATTTAAATCGTCGCATGTATGCACATTTTATAAGCCATGAATTGCGTAGATTGTTGCAAGAGGCTGGACTTACGCAAGAGGAGATTGATAGAATTTATCATCAGCAAGATGGTGCTCCACCTCATAGGCCGGAGGAAGTTCTCAACGAAATTCGAGAAATTTTTGGTGAACGTATTATCGCTTTGGGTGCTGAGCGAGAGTGGCCACCGCGGTCCCCAGACTTGAATGTTTTAGATTTTCATGTCTGGGGACAAGTAAAGGATTATGTGTACCGGGTAGAGATTGAGACAATGGAGCAGTTGCGTACTCGAATTCTGGATGGTTTCGCAACAATCACACCGGAAATGTTGCGTCATTCAACTCAAAGCGTTATCCGACGCGCGATGTGTTGTATCGAGCACAATGGTGGAAATTTTGAACAATTTTTATAATTTTTAGAGTCACATTAGTTTTTCCACTATTGCTTCAATTATCTTCTGCTCTTTTCTTTTTTATTATTATATTTCCTTTGCTTCTCTTTCTCTATTGTTTGATTTATTGTTTTTATATTTGATTGTGTTTTTAGTAAAACTTAATTTAAAAACCACTGCCAAGTTGAAGAATGAACTTTTGTGTTTATAAAATAAATATACTTTGCTCCGTCATGGATATCTTTTGTAATCAGTTTATTGTAACTTATTTAGTATTATAATAATTCTAAAGGCGTTAAATTTTATTTTTTGTGCGTTTGCAGATAGATTTCTAACATCAATAACTTCGTAATATTTTACAATAAAGGGTTCAATAATAATAGGTCAATTGATACGTTTTTTAAATATTATCCAAGTTGTTCATAATACTTTTAAAGTTACATAAAGAGTTTTTAAAAAATAATGAAAAAATGGCAGGTTTTTCAAAAAATTGTCTACTTCAACATATTAATAACTTTTAATAAAATAACAGTAAGATATTCGCTATTATGGCTCAAAAGATGTGTCTTAAAAAACTCTACAAAATTAAAGATAAATATTCATAGGTGTCCTAACATTTTTTTAAAGCTATGGACAAAAAAATTATTTTTCAAAAATTTTTAAATCCAAAAAAATAATAGTTAATCTTTATTAATCTAATTCAAAGTACTCTCATTATTTGTCTCAATTTAAAAAAAATCGAGTTTGAAAAATTTCGGTATTAAGGGGGTCATCCTGTGTGATGGGTTCAAAAAATCGATTTTTTTTCTTTTGCATAAATGTCATCTATAACATATTTAGAATATGTGGATAAAGCGATTTTTTGATACACAACGTCCTTAAAAGGTTATAGCACTGATAAGGGGTCATCCATATATCACGTGATACCTTTAGGGATGGGAGGGTGGTTGGCAAACTATCATGGTCCATGGAAATTTAATTTTTTAACAGTAGAAAAAGTATCACGCAGGGGTGGAAGGGGGTTTAAAATACCTAAACTATGTATCACGTGATATGTGAACAACCCCTAAGTCAGTGTGCTCAAGAGCGCGGTTATAAGCGTTCTTAAACTTGCAAACGTGTTTTTCTCGAAACTACTTTTTTGAACTGGCGTCCATGATATCTCAGAAACCACTTGACCAATTTTGATCAAATTTACAGGGTATGTTCAGCACATGTGTGGCTATCGCTCGAACTAGAATAATTAAAATAGGTCAGGTAGTTTTCTCTTTATACGACAAAATTGACATAAAAATCGTGATTTTTTGAAAAAAAATTTCAAAACCGCATAAAAAATTGAATTTTTAATATTTTCAAGTAGTCATAGTTCCGGCGATAGCTACTGCCTTACAGATTAAAACGCTATTATACTTTTGGATCAGTCAATCAGTCGGAATTGTAGACGCCGATGGACAACTGTCTAAAAACCAAGGTTACTTCTTTGTATTATAAGTCGAAAAGATTAAAGTATTTTTACTTGAAATAATTTGTACTTGTTGTTGAAATCTCACTAAATGTACAGTAAAAAATTCGAAGTTCTATGTTTTTATAGTTTTGAAAAGAAAAATGGCAAAAATAAGTGCCAACACACGGGGTGACCCCCTTAAATAATTAATAAATTATTTTAAAAATAACTTTAAAAGTCAATAAAGTAAGTAAGTGTTTATTATTATTATTATTTATAAATTTAAATTAAAAACTTTTTTATTGACAATCATATTTTGGATCATAATCATCATCATCATCATTTTTTTTCTTGTATTTTTTTTTTGGTGCTGGCCTCCCTCCAAACAAATTCCTCAATTTTTCAATTTTCATCTTCTTTTTTTCTTCTTCAATTAAGTCCTGAAATGTATTTAAAAATTGTTCTATTGAGTTTTTTTTCACAGAACTTGGATCATAAGACTGCAATTATCAACATTTACAAAACGAAAAGTTAAAAAATAATCAAGTACCCAAGCAGCACATAATATTACGTTAAGGGGGGAAATTCGTGTAAATGCACGTTTTTTCAGGAATTTTTTATAAAAAAATAGTAATTTCGATTGAATTCAAGTAAAAAATACCTTAAAGTACACAATATCAGCTTTATAAAAAAAATTTTTTGTTAAAAAATATTATAAAATGGCGGCCTAACAGGCGTTTGAAGTTGCATCTTTGATTTTGCGCGGTGCAACCTACAGGTCACAAATCTTAACTAAAATTAAAAATCAAAATTTTTACCGTTAAAATAAGCAAATCGAAATCGCCTGAAAGTCATTACTCGGGGGTTTTTGTGGTCGCTGATTATGAATTTGATGTTATTTTTCCAAAATTAAAAATGGCGGAACCAATATGGCGGACAAATTTTTGAGAATTGATTGAAATCGCCTGAAAGTCGTTACTCGGAGGATTTTGGGGTCGCTCATTACGAATCTGATGTTCTTTTTACAAAATTCAAAATGGCGGAATTAAGATGGCGGACGAATTTTTAAGAATTGATCAAAATCGCCTAAAAGTCGTTACTCGGGGTTTTTTGGGGTCGCTGATGATGAATTTTGGAAAAAGAATATCAGATTCGTAATCAGCGACCCCCCAAAAACCCCCCATGTAACGACTTTCAGGCGATTTGGTTAAATTCTTAAATAAAAATTAGTCCGCCATATTGGATCCGCCATTTTGAATTTTGAAAAAAACATCAGATTCGTAATTAACGACCCTGAAAACCCTCGAGTAACGACTTTTAGGTGTTTTCGATCAATTCTTGGAAATTCGTCCGCCATATTTGTTCCGCCATTTTGAATTTTGGAAAAAGGACTTCAGATTTGTAATCATCGACCCCAAAAACTCCCCGAGTAACGACTTTCAGGCGATTTTGATCAATTCTTAAAAATTCTTCCTTCATATTGGTTCCGCCATTTTGAATTTTCTAAAAATATCATCAGATTCGTAATCAGCGACCCCAAAAACCCCCATAAGCAATTTTGTTTTTAAAAATAATGTTGTAATTTAATGTATGCCGCAAAGGTATACAAATGTTTTTTAAAAAATGGAACTCGTCATGCAATAGATAGTAAGATAAAGAAGATTTGTGGTAAGTTTGTTTTAAATCGGTTAAAAATTGGCTGAGTTACATTGCACGGCGCGCGAAAAAACACGTTTCAAGAAAAATGCATATGAGTCGCCGGAAAGTAAAACCACACATAAAATTCTGACTCCTATTGAATTAACATGGCCGTCAGAATTTTATGTGTGGTTTTACTTTCCGGCGACTCATATAAAGTTTTCGATACATAAAAGTAGTGTTCTAACTATTGCCTTGAAGACGTTATGTATTCGAAAATAACTATTGCACTAAAACCAAGATTTACTATCACTTGCTTATGGTACTTGCTAATGACAATTATATTGAATAACGTGCCGTTTTTCTCACACTAGTGCGAGTAAAGAGAGGAAATGATACTTTTTATAACACCTTTCGTCAACAACTCAACTACATCGCTGTCTTTTACGCACTAGTGCTTAAAAGGAGGGGAAATCGTACTTTTACGCACACTTTCCCCTTCCATCACAGCAATTTAGTCGAGTTTTTGACGCAAAATGTTATAAAAATTATGTATGGGACATGGGCACAAATAGGGGAATCTTGACTCGCGTGAATGTGCGCTAATTTCCCTTTTATCCACTTTTGAATTTAAAGTAGGGTCGAAAAATGTATTAAAATATTGAAGATTTTGAAATGTTACTTTTCTAATTTTTTTTATTTTTTGTTTTTTTAAACGTTGACAACTTCAACCTCATTTTGAATATTTCTAAATTGACAATCGTTATTCATTCAAATGTTTAAAAATTAAAAACTAAGCACAAGAACAATTTACTTGTTTAATGCTAACCATCTGAGGTGTCTAAACAGCTATTAAACTTATAATATATTTATCTCTAATCAAATCTCACTCTGTCGCCCCCTCCCATCCCTCTCTCTCTTATTTCTATATAGGTAGTCTCATCAAAATTTTCACAGAGTATTTGAAAACATTCTTACATTTGCATCATCCTCCTCTTCATTTGAATTTGTTGTAGAATTACCATCTCTACTCTCAGGAGTAAAACTACTTCTTCTTTTCCCCATCCTTAAAAGCTCTGAAAAAGTATTATAATAGCTTACGGTAAGAAATTAAGAAAGAAGATATTCGAAAAACTTATAAAGCGTCGCGAAAGAAGAGACATTAAAAGCAAACAATTATAGGAGATGTTTTAAAATTTTTAAGTAATAATACACAAAGAGGATCAATTTATTTAAAAACAAATAATGTTTAAGTCACCATTATATTATAAATAAATAATAAATAGGTGTTCATTTCAGGATCATTTAGCTTCCTTATTATAATTCACTTGTATTCAAGATTAAAAGAACGACTATTATCATTTTGATAGGGAACAGCGTGGAAATGGAAGTATGGGCAAAAGATGGCAAAGTATGGCCAACTATGGGTTAAACATGGCCAAAAGCTGACAAAGTATGGCAACAGTATGGCAAAAGTATTGCTAATGACCGAATCCCATAGTTAAAGTATGGCTTCAAAAAAAACCATTTTTTTCAATTCTCCAACTATGGGCGAACTATGGGCAAAGTATGGCGAAGTATGGGAGGCGAAAAAAACACTCTATTTTTAAATTTTTGAACTATGGGCGAACTATGGGCAAAGTATGGCGAAGTATGGGAGGCAAAAAAAATCATTTTTTTCAAATTCTTCAAAAATATGGGCAAACTATGGGCCAAGTATGGCGAAGTATGGGAGGCGAAAAAAACACTCTATTTTTAAATTTTTGAACTATGGGCGAACTATGGGCAAAGTATGGCGAAGTATAGAAGGCAAAAAAAATTATTTTTTCAAATTCTTCAAATATGGGCGAACTATGGGCCAAGTATGGCAAAGTATGGGAGGCGAAAAAAACACTTTTTTTTAAATTTTTGAACTATGGGCAAACTATGGGCCAAGTAT